TTGTCGACACACCTCCAGTTGTGCCTTCTGAGGAGGCTTCAGTCAAGAATACAGGTACAGTAGTCCCATCTGCGGTCACCACAGTGGTAGTGTCAGGTACTTCTGAGGTCACCGTTGCTGGCGAAGGCCCAGTTGTAGTTGGTTTGACGGCGGTACTTGTCGACACACCTCCAGTTGTGCCTCCTGAGGAGGCTTCAACCAAGGTCGTAGGTACAGTAGTCCCATCTACGCTCACCACGGTTGTAGAGTCAGGTGCAGGCGCCCTTTCTGAGGTGGACACAGCGGTGGATGCAATTACAGTTGTCCCTGCTGAATCCGTATCAGTTATGAACGCAGGCGCAGTTGCTCCCCCTGAAGTGGTTTTAGTGGTCGATCCAGGTAAAGATGACACTTCTGAAGTGGCCTCAGCGGTAGATGCTGACACTGCCGTCCCTTCTGAGGTGACCCCAGTCGTATACACAGGCATAGTTATCCCTTCTGAGCCTGCCACTGTGGTAGGCGCAGTGACAGTGGCGCTTCCTGACGTAGTCATGGTTATGGATGCAGGCGTCGCTGTCCCTTCTGGTGTTACTGCATCGGTGGAAAATGACACAACTGTTGCTCCTGAGCTGACCCTGGTGGTCGATAAACCTAAAGTGGAAGCTTCCAGAATGGCAACAGTGGTAGATTCAGCTGCAGTTGTCCGCTTTGATGTGGGCTCACTTAAAGATACATCCTCGGTCATAGATGAAGGTGAAGTTGTACCGCGTGAGGTTATCACATTGGTGGATGAAGTACTCATTGTTCCATCCGACGTAGTTGCAGTTGTAGATACAGTTACAGGCGTGGCTTGTGTGCTAGATGTGGACATGGATGCAGGTCCTTCTGTGCCATCCGAGTTGGCCGCGGGGTCAGGTAAGGGTGCATTTGTTAGTTCTGACGAGACATCGCTTGTAGCTGATACGGTTGTGCTCCTCTCTGAGGTGACCACAGCGGCAGACACGAAGGTAGTCGCGCCTTCTGTTGTGGCTGCAGTCGTATACGCAGGATCGGTGGTCCTTTCTGAGGTGGTGCCAGCTGCGGACACATGTCCAGTTGTTTCGTCTGACCCAGCCGCATTGGTATTTACAGAAAGAGTTACGCCTTCTGTGGTGACCACAATGGTGGCTGCCATGGATTCCCCTTCTGAAGTGGCCGCAATTGTCGATACGGATACCGCTGTTCCTTCTGGGGTGGTCACAGTAATAGACGTAGACGCATTTGCCTCTTCTGGGGTCACCTCCGCTGCAGACTCAGAAAGTACCGGCGCATTGGTCCCGTCTGAGAGGGCCTCAGTTGTGAGCAGCGACGCAGTGGTCCCTCCTGAGGAAATCTCCAGCAAATTTTCAGATACGACTGTACCCTGTGAGGTTGTTTCAGCAGCACCGTCACCAGCAACGTCACTTGTAACTCCTCCCGCTGCCGTACTGTCACCAGTGACGTCACTTGTAACCTCTCCCCCTGCCGTTTCGGCACTAGTAGCTTCATTTCCGACGGAAGTTCCCGCTGTGTTTACGGGGCTGCCGTCTGTTGCTGTTACTGCTCCTGGTGTCGCCGCACTGGTGAGGTGTGGGGGTGTGAAAGCCCCCGTTCCATATGAGTCCGTGTAATCTGGAGATGCCACAGACGTGGAACCGGTTTCATTTGCTGGTGCCGCCGATGTCACGTTTGGCGTCTGCTGCGTCAATGCCGGGCTTGTGGCGGTCAGGACGTCTGGCGAAGCAGCCTCTGCTGTTGTTGCCGCCTCCCCTGAAACGCATGCTTCGATATAGCATATGTCTTCGAAGCGCCGGCCGCTGTGTTTGGAGCTTGAACAGTATGCCGCCAGTTGGTTTCGATGTTTGGCTTGTGGCGATGAGTGTGATTGTGCCAAATGGCTTCATTAGCAGGCTGGCAGTGAGCTTTGGACCATCCTGGTTCCTTGGACAACGCTTTCATGATGTATTGTACTTCTCTGGATGTTTCCATGTCATTTCATGTTTTTGTTTCACATGTCAGGTTTCTTATGTGGCGAAGGCGTCCGGCTGCAGATTAGTTGCACTTCAGAATTGTTTTCACATTGTTAAGTGATAACTGTTCGCTGAAAATGTCTTTTCATGCCAGTAATACGTCTGTCGCTTTGATGAGTGCCTTGAAAGAGGCAGACACATCTCCCGTGCCATAAAGCTTTATCGTGGATATATCAACGGATGTCCAACTGCCATTGTCTTCGGAGGAAATGCGAGACCGAGGGTATTAGATGACCAAAATAAGCACCTTTGTCATGCACATTCCGGTCACCTTGTTTGTCTGCACGTCTGTCTGCCTGTCTGTGTGCGCGCATGTTCTAGCCAGACGCATCCAAGACAGCGGCTGGGATTTCCTTGAAATGTCACGCACACCACTGTGACAGCCTTTGTGACGGTCCACCGACAAAGTTTACGCTCGTCAAATACCGATGTCGTTCACAGCACTTGAGAGAGGCGTGTTTTGACATTTTGCAGGAAGATATTCGTCGTTTGAGTAGGAGTTTTCGATAGACCAGGCTGTCAAAATATTTACCGAAAGCTCGAACAATTAGAATATATCGGCCCCATACGCGAGGGACTCCCAATGGGCGCACGAACCAACATCTTCGAAGAAAAATGTTATTAACACACCCTAGAAGTCGCTGAGATCGGAGCCCCTCTTATGAAACTGAAGATGGTCCTATACAGACGCCTACGGCGCCGGCTCTCTTCGCGCAACCAACCAAGCAAGCAAAGCAGTCACTACTGCATACTACCTGTTTGAAGTCGCGAGTGCGCAGCACAGCACTTCCAGGTATTTTGTACGAGTGATCCATGAGTTTAAGGTATCTTGTAAAGGTTGAGGGTGTGGCCAAAGGAGGGCTGGGGGGGGGGGTCCCATGGTCCCCCTGAGCCGTGAAATTTACACTAGATGTTGACCAAGTACACAAGAGCTCGGTCCAAGTTCGCAGTGGTTGGAAGAAATATCACGCTCGCCTTCCCTCCTGACCCTGAGGAAAGTATGGAGGAAGTTGAAGGGATACCTAGAGTATGCTTTCAGCTCTTGGTAGGAAAAACATATTTTGGCCCGGATTCTATTTACACGAGGCTACTTGCTACTTATCACCTTATTGTCTCAGTCCACACCATGGGACAGATTAGGATTTCATTTGGTGATCCGTCGGATCGATAAGACGTCGGATAAGACGTGCTTGTCATGGATCTTCAGCTGTGGCTGGAGGCTTTTGGTGATCCGTCGGATAAGACGTGCTTGTCATGGATCTTCAGCTGTGGCTGAAGGCCCGAGTTGGACAGTCACTTTATAACCTTATGACTGTTCACGACCGTTGTAAAAGGAGGCAAACATCTCTTCGCATGTTGTTTCACCCACTAGACGTCTTCACCAACATTTTGATGAACTATTTTATTGCATATTACTGTGTTTTAGAAATCGTGCTGGAAAATGATGACTACAGATGTCTCAGCATGTGCAATGTCAGAAATGACTTGTTTGGTGTAGACAACGTTTTAGTTGTGCATGGAGGCTCGGAACGTCAAACAATTGTGATCGAAAATAATCCGCCGTGATCATGATCGAGGTGAATTAAAAATTTCGCAACCTTTCGTTTCTAGATGTCATTCTTATCGTGACGCAAATGACACTTTTACGTCATTCACCCATACGGCCATTATATATGACCTAGGATGGGCCAAGGCTTAAACCGGCCTATCATAACCTTCTGGTACGGTGGTTCACGGGCAGCTGGGGCGACAAGGATATGTCAGATATGATTTTTGGATACAAAGCGTCTGAAGCGTATGTTGAGGGATATTGCAAAGTTCAGACTGCCGGGACAATTTTCTCCAGGCATAATGCTCCAATCACGCCGTATCTTGCTCCAAATGCAAAGATAGGGTGTTAGTGCCTCTTTGTCGAGCAAATGGTGTCTAATCGATATCAGCTTGCAGTTATATATACTCAAGTGAAGGGAACCTTATCGTAAAGAGCTCTTGCATTTACGCTATTTTGTATTTCCATATAACGCCATGAGTTTCATCAGTGGTAAAGCAGCACCACAATAAGAAATCACGTTGCACAACATGAAATCCCGCATAGTTGTCTGATTTCGATAATCAATCGCTGGAACACCCGTGTGAACCTTGCCATTGTTGACATTGGAGGCAATAATGCTCAGACGGTGCTAATTTGCATAATTTTAATGGTTGTGACTTCCAAATGTGTTAGGCGTCGGGCCTATGATCACCTTACAGCTCAACTGGATCACAAGACAGGAGACTACGACAAGACCGCGACAGAGGAGCGGTTCCGCCAGCATATTGTTCAGAGAGTAAGTAAAACTCAGCAGATTCGGGATGCTCTATCCCTACCATTATGCAATTTCTCACATTTTCCCCACCTTTATTAAAGGACCACCGGCTGCCCATAGCGCAGTTAAACCTTCTCGAAGCCTGGCTGGTTTCCCAATGTTTTTAATCGGGACATCTAATCGGAAGAAGATGATCACTTGGGATGGCCGAACTTCCTGAGTTTGCATAGGGTCTTCTCTGCAGCAGACTGAACTTCCTTTGGATCATCTGAAGCCCTCTTTCGGCAAATGGGTTCTGTTGTTGACCACCTAGGGTCTTCTACGGAGCGGTCTCTCCTGAACGCATTTTGAGCCATTCTTTTGATCTGATCGAATGCTCTGTCTCGGTCAGCTGGAGCCTCATGTCGACATAACGGGGACCTCTTGAAATGTCACGGAGGCAAGCATATGTTTTCCCTATTTGGCAAATGACAATGGAATGGCTGTCTCTTAATCGGCTGTTGCCGCCGCGACATAAATATGTGACGAGAGGTAATAATGTCCTGCGACAAAGAAGTGTGCTGCTGCAGCCGCCCACAGCAATTAGCCGTGCACAATGGGTCTCGCCACGTTCTGCTGCCTGCGAGACATTCCTAGTGAAGTGCGGCACGACCGCAAGACCAACAGATCACACTGAGGTGATCTGAAGCACGACCGCAAGACCAACAGATCACACTGAGGTGATCTGAAGCACGACCGCAAGACCAATAAATCACACTGAGGTGATCTGAAGCACGACCGCAAGACCAACAGATCACGCTGAGGTGATCTGAAACGAAGCTTGGGCCGTCGCCAAGACAGCTTCCAGAGGTAACGCCCAGGCAGGTGCTGTATCAGGCCACAAGTTTGCGCCCGCTGGACAGACGGCCTCGATCAGCCCAGGCGGCATCAGCCCACCTGTGGAGACTGTAGTTGGTGACACAGAGGTGTCCGACGATGATGTGGTCCCTGCACCCTCTGGACTGGACGTCGGATCAGGCGAAGCGGCTGAAGACGACCACGTTGTCGATTGATATGTTTGGTCGGTCACGACAGGTGTAAGAGGTGTAGTTTCAGGCAAGTAAGAATGTGTGCTAGTTGGCTGTGAAGTGGGTTCATATGTTGTTGTTGAAGTCGTGGTAGAACTAGACATGTCCCTGGTACCACCAGCCGCTGCGGTACTGGGATCAGGTGTGTTGCCTGGAGTGCGAGCAGTTGTAGGGCTAAAAACAGGCATCGTGACTGTAGTGCCATCAACTGCTTCAGTGGGATGAGACGCCATTTCTGTGGGAATAACAGCTGTTGTGGCATCTGCTGATGTAGCAGAAACGGGCGTCGTTCTTGTGGTGCTGCCATCTGTCGTGGTAACTTCAGGCATTTCCATTTTGGTACTGCCAGTCGTCGCAGTAAGCTCAAATATGGGATCTGTAGTACTGCCAGATGCCCTAGTAAGCTCAGATATAGTTTCTGTAGTTCTAACAGCTGGTGTCGTAGGACTAGAACTTGTGACTGCGGTGCCGGGAATTGTTGCCGAAGTGTCAGATGCTGTCGTCCTACCAACTATTATGGTAGGAACAGGTGTTTTATTTGTAGCACCGACGGTTGCTGTAGTCAAACCAGATGACATCCATGAAGTACTACCAGCTGCTGCAGTGGGGCCAGTTGTAATTGTGGTACTATCAGATGCTGTGGCATGCTCAGATACTGTCTCTGAGGCACTGCTAGCTGAAGCGGTACTAGAGGTACTATCCCGTGTGGTGGTACTACCAGCTGGTGCGGAATCAGAAGTGGTACCTATAGTAACAACAGCTGTTGAGGAAGGACCGGAACCTGCCCCCGTGATATAAGCAGCCGTGGCGGTAAGGTCAGACGCAGAGACTGTGGTAATGCTACTGTTACTGTTAGCTGCTGTGATATCAGACGCTGTGTATGTGGTACTATCAGCAGCTTGTGTTTCTGATGCTCTGTGTGTGGTACTACTAGCTGTTGTGGTGGGAACAGGCGCCATGCCTGTGGTGCTACCATCGTATGTGCTTAAATCAAACTTTGCTGTTGTGGCACTGCCAGCAGCTGTGATATCAGAGGATGGGGTTATAGTATCACGAGCCGTCGTAATGAGTTCAGAAAGGGCTCCTGTGGTGATATCACCTGGTGTCATACGGATGGAAGGTGTGCCTGTGGTGCTGTCAGTTGTTGTCGTAGGAGCAGACGCGGTGCCTGAGGCACTGCTAGCTGTTGTCGTAGGAGTAGAAGTTGTGCCTGCGGTGCTACCAGCTGTTGTCACGGGGGCAGACGTGGTACCTGCAGTACTGCTAGATGTTGTTGTAGGAGCAGAAGAGGGGCCTGTGGTGCTGCTAGCTGTTGTCTTAGGAGGCGTGGTACCTGTGGTACTGCCAGCTGTTGTAGGAGCAGAAGTTGTGCCTGTGGTAGTGCTAGCCGTTGTCGTAGGAACAGATGTGGTGCCTGTAGCACTGCTAGCTGTTGTAGGAGCAGAAGTGGGACCTGTGGTACTGGTAGTTGTCGTAGGAGCAGACGTGGCGCCTGTAGCACTGCCAGCTGTTGTCGTAGGAGCAGGCGCGGTGCCTGTAGCACTGCTAGCTGTCGTCGTAGGAGCGGAAGTGGTGCCTGTGGTACTGCCAGGTGTTGCCGTAGGAGCAGAAGTGGTGCCTGTAGCACTGCTAGATGTTGTCACAGGAGCAGACGTGGTGCCTGCGGTACTGCTAGCTGTTGTCGTAGGAGCAGATGTGGTACCTGTAGCACTGCTAGCTGTTGTCGCGGGAGACGTGGTGTCTGTGGTACTGCTAGCTGTGGTAGGAGCAGAAGCGGGACCTGTGGTACTGGTAGCTGTTGTCGTAGGAGCAGACGTGGCGCCTGTAGCATTACTAACTGTTGTCGTAGGAGCAGAAGTGTTGCCTGTAGCACTGCTAGCTGTTATCGTAGGAGCGGAAGAGAGGCCTGTGGTACTAACAGCTGTTGTAGAAGAAGAAGTAGTGCTTGCGGTACTACTAGCTGTTGTCGTAGGAGCAGACGTGGTGCCTGAGGCGCTGCTAGATGTTGTAGGAGCAGTAGTGGTGCCTGTGGTACTGCCAGCCGTTGCCTTAGGAGGCGTGGCGCCTGTGGTACTGCTAGCTTTTGCTGTAGGAGCCGAAGTGGCGCCTGTGGTACTGCTAGCTGTTGCCGTAGGAGCAGACGTGGCGCCTGTAACACTGCTAGCTGTTGTCGTAGGAACAGACGTGGTGCCAGTAGCACTGCTACCTGTTGTCGTAGGAGCAGACGTGGTGTCTGTGGCACTGCTAGCTGTTGTCGTAGGAGCAGACGTGGTGCCTGTAGCACTGCTAGCTGTTGTCGTAGGAGCAGACGTGGTGTCTGTGGCACTGCTAGCTGTTGTCGTAGGAGCAGACGTGGTGCCTGTAGCACTGCTAGCTGTTGTCGTAGGAGCAGACGTGGTGCCTGTGGTACTGCTAGCCGTTGTCGTAGGAACAGATGTGGTGCCTGTAGCACTGCTAGCTGTTGTAGGAGCAGAAGTGGGACCTGTGGTACTGGTAGTTGTCGTAGGAGCAGACGTGGCGCCTGTAGCACTGCCAGCTGTTGTCGTAGGAGCAGGCGCGGTGTCTGTAGCACTGCTAGCTGTTGTCGTAGGAGCGGAAGTGGTGCCTGTGGTACTGCCAGGTGTTGCCGTAGGAGCAGAAGTGGTGCCTGTAGCACTGCTAGATGTTGTCACAGGAGCAGACGTGGTGCCTGCGGTACTGCTAGCTGCTGTCGTAGGAGCAGATGTGGTACCTGTAGCACTGCTAGCTGTTGTCGCGGGAGACGTGGTGTCTGTGGTACTGCTAGCTGTTGTAGGAGCAGAAGCGGGACCTGTGGTACTGGTAGCCGTTGTCGTAGGAGCAGACGTGGCGCCTGTAGCATTACTAACTGTTGTCGTAGGAGCAGAAGTGTTGCCTGTGGCACTGCTAGCTGTTATCGTAGGAGCGGAAGAGAGGCTTGTGGTACTAATAGCTGTTGTAGAAGAAGAAGTGGTGCTTGCGGTACTGCTAGCTGTTGTCGTAGGAGCAGACGTGGTGTCTGTGGCACTGCTAGCTGTTGTCGTAGGAGCAGAAGTGGTGCCTGTAGCACTGCTAGCTGTTGTCGTAGGAGCAGACGTGGTGCCTGTAGCACTGCTAGCTGTTGTCGTAGGAGCAGACGTGGTGTCTGTGGCACTGCTAGCTGTTGTCGTAGGAGCAGACGTGGTGCCTGTAGCACTGCTAGCTGTTGTCGTAGGAGCAGACGTGGTGCCTGCAATACTGCTAACTGCTGTCCTAGGAGGCGTGGTGCCTGTGGTACTGGTAGCTGTTGTCGTAAGAGCAGGCGTGGTGCCTGTAGCACTGCCAACTGTTGCTGTAGGAGCAGACGTGGTGCGTGCGATACCGCTAGCTGTTGTCATGGAAGTAGACGTGGTGCCTACAGCACTGATAGCTTTTGTAGGGGCAGACGTGGTACCTGTAACGCTGCTAGCTGTTGTGGCAGGAGGGGACGTGGTACCTGCGGTACTGCTAGTAACACCAGTCGCAGCAATAGAGCCGGACGTTGCACTGCTCGACATTGTAGGATCGGATATTGCTCTTGATGTGCCAACATGTGTTGTGTTATGAGACATTGCACCTAAGGTACTAACAGCTGATGTGGTAAGCTCGGATATCGTCCCTGTGACACTAGCAGCTGTTCTGGTAAGACCAGACGGTGTACCCGTGGTGCTGCCAGCTGTGGTAGGGCCGGACGATGTTCGTGTGGTACTACCAATTGTTGTTAAGTCAAATGTTGTTTCAGTAGTTCCACCAGCTGTTGCACCGGTATAAGACGCTGTACTGCTGGCTGCTGGTATTGGACCAGATGTTGCCCCTGTAGTGCGGCCAGTTGTTGCTAAGTGGGTTGTACCTGTGCTTCTACCACCTGCTGTAGTAAGATCAGACCTTACGTTTGTAACGCTACCGGGCGTTGTGATGGAATCAGGCATTATGTTGCTGGTTCTTGTAGCAAGATACGGCGATGTTACTGTGGTGCCAGCGGTTGTGGTGATACCAGACGCTGCGGCTGTGGCACCACCAGGTTTTCTGGTAAGTTCGGATGCTGTCCCTGTGACACTCCCAGCTGATGTGGAAGGTTCAAATATTGTAACCTCGGTACTACCAGCTGTTTTGATAAGGCCAGCTGTGGTGCTACCAGCTGCTGAGGTAATCATTGGTGTTGTGCCGATGATAGCACCAGTTGTAATGTCAGACGTTCGGGCTACAGTACTCGCTGCTGTTGTGATGAGGTCAGATGCCGTTTCTGTCGTGCTGGGACGTGATGTTAAAAGATCGGAAGGAGTACCTGCGGTACTATCAGCTGTTGTCGCGGTATTGGTGGTGGGGCCAGCGGTACCGCTAGCTGTTGCGGCGAGATCGGACACCATTCTTGTAGAAATACCAGCTGAAGTGGTGGAATCAGACGACGCAGTAGCAGCTGTTGTGATAGGACCTGACGTTGCCCCAGTTACCTCACCAGCTGTCGTGATGTCAGACGCTGTGCCGATAGTACTGCCAGATGTTGAGGGATCCGATGTTGTGCCTGCGCTGCTATAAACTGTTGTGGTAACGGTAGATGATGTCGGAGTGGTGCTATCAGCTGGCGTCGTAAGACTGAATGCAGTAGTGGTGGTACTTCCCGGCGCTGTTGTGAGATCATACGTACTCCAGGTGAAACTGCCAGCTGTTGCAGTAGGAACAGACGCTGCGCCTGTGATGTCACCAGCCGTTGTAGTAGGAACAGACGCTGCGCCTGTGATGTCACCAGCCGCTGTAGTAGGAACAGACGCTGCGCCTGTGATGTCACCAACCGTTGTAGCAAAATCAGGTGTCCCACTATCAGCATCATTGGACGTAGTAATGGTGTCATGGGTCGCGCTGCTAGCTATAGTAGTGCGACCAAACTGTGCCACTAAAGTGCCGGTAGCTGTTACGATATCAGGCATTGTGCTGATGGTACTATCGGCTGTTGTGGTAAGCTCAGATGCCGTCCGTGTGACACTACCAGTTGTTTGGGCAGGGCCAGGCGTAGCACCTGTAGTGGTACCAGCTGTGATGGTTGGAACAAAAGTGGAACCTGCAGAGGCACCAGCTGTGATGGTTGAAACAGACGTTGTACCTGTAGTGGTACCAGCTGCGATGGTTGGAACAGACATGGTGCCTGTAGCGGTACCAGCTGTGATGGTTGAAACAGACGTTGCACCTGTAGTTGTACCAGCTGTGGTGGTTTGAACAGACGTGAAACCTGTAGTGGTACCAGCTGTGATGGTTGGAACAGACGTTGCATCTGTAGTGATACCAGCTGTAATGGTTGGAACAGACATGGAACCTGTAGTGGTACCAGCTATGATGGTTGGAACAGATGTTGCATCTGTAGTGATACCAGCTGTGATAGTTGGAAGGGACGTGGCACCTGTAGTGGTACCAGCTGTGATAACTGGAACAGACGTGGCACCTGTAGTGGTGCCACCTGTGATGGTTGGAGCAGACGTGGTGCCTGTACTACTGTCGACAGCTGTTACGGGGGCAGACGTCATTTTTGTAGTCCTACTAGCTGATGCAGTGGGATCAGACGCCGTGCTGCCACTTGCTATTCCGGGACCAAGCGTTGTTCTTGAAGTACTGCCAGTTGTTGTAACCGCAATAGAGGTTGTGCCTGTGATGCTATCAGCTGTTGCAGTCAGGCCAGAAAGTGACCCGAAACCACTGTCAGATGGTGTTGTGACATCAGTCGTTGTGTCCGTGTATTTACTACCTGGTGTAGTAAAGTCTGCTACTGAGCCTGTGGTGGTACCAGCTGGCGATGAAGGATTCCAACTAGTGGCTGTGGTACTGTCAGCTGATGTGAAAAGGCCAGACATTGTGCCTGTGGTACCACCAGCTGTTGCGGTAGGAACAGATACTGTGCCTGTGCTACCACCAGCTGTTGCGGTAGGAACAGATACCGTGCCTGTGATTGCACCGGCTGTTGTGGAGGGAATAGATACGGTGTCTGTGGTAACACCAGCTGTTGTGGAGGGAACAGATACCGTGCCTGTGATAGCACCAGCTGTTGTGGAGGGAACAGATACCGTGCCTGTGATAGCACCATCTGTTGTGGAGGGAACAGATACCGTGCCTGTGATAGCACCAGCTGTTGTGGAGGGAACAGATACCGTGCCTGTGATAGCACCAGCTGTTGTGGAGGGAACAGATACCGTGCCTGTGATAGCACCAGCTGTTGTGGAGGGAACAGATACCGTGCCTGTGATAGCACCAGCTGTTGTGGAGGGAACAGATACCGTGCCTGTGATTGCATCGGCTGTTGTGGAGGGAACAGATGCGGTGCCTGTGGTAACACCAGCTGTTGTGGAGGGAACAGATACCGTGCCTGTGATAGCACCAGCTGTTGTGGAGGGAACAGATACCGTGCCTGTGGTAGCACCAGCTGTCGTGGGGGGAACAGATACCGTGCCTGTGATAGCACCAGCTGTTGTGGAGGGAACAGATACCGTGCCTGTGATAGCACCAGCTGTTGTGGAGGGAACAGACACGGTGCCTGTGATAGCACCAGCTGTTGTGGAGGGAACAGATACGGTACCTGTGGTAACACCAGCTGTTATGGAAGGAACAGATACCGTGCCTGTGGTACTGCCAGCTGTTACGGTAGGAACAGATATCGTGCCTGTTGAATTTCCAGGTACTGCATTTGGATCAGACGTTGTAGTAAGGTCGGGCGTTGTTCCTGTGGTGGCAGCAGCTAACGAATTTAGTTCGGTTTCCACCCGTGTGGTGCTGCTAGCTTGTGTCGTAGGATGATATGTTGTACCTGTGGTGCTACTATCTGGTGAGGTGAGATCCGACATCCCAGTGATGCTGCCAGCTGTTGTGACATCAGGTGGTGTTCCATCGATGCTGCCAGCTGTTGTGACGTCAGGCGGTGTTCCAGTGATACTGTCAGCTGTTGTGACGTCAGGCGGTGTTCCAGTGATACTGCCAGCTGTTGTGATGTCAGGCGGTGTTCCAGTGATACTGCCAGCTGTTGTGATGTCAGGCGGTGTTCCAGTGATACTGCCAGCTGTTGTGACGTCAGGCGGTGTTCCAGCGATACTGCCAGCTGTTTTGACGTCAGGTGGTGTTCCCGCGGGACTGCCAGCTGTTGTGACACCAGGCGGTGTTCCAGTGATACTGCCAGCTGTTGTGACGTCAGGCGGTGTTCCAGTGGTACTGGCAGCTGTTGTGACGCCAGGTGGTGTAATCATGGTACCGCCAGCTGTTGTGGTACGCTCGGATATGGTCCCTGTGGTACTGTCATCTAGAGCAGCGGGACCGAAAGTTGTACCTGTCGCATTGTCACTTGTGGTTTGTGCAGACGCTGGGCCTATTGTGCTACCAGCTGCCTTGGAGGCGTGACCTGTGATACTGGTTGTCGAGGTGAACCTGGATGTGGTTTCTGTGGTACTATCGTTTGTTGCAGCGAGGTCAGACGGCATCATTGTACCATCGTCAGTTGTCGCAGTGAGATCTGAAGTAGTACTTCCACCTGTTGCAGTAAGTCCAGACATCGTCACTGAGGTGTTACCACCAGCTGTGACATCAGATGCTGTAGTTAACAAACTGTTGGATGGTGACGTAAGGTCAGATGTTGTTCCTCCGGTACTACTAGCTGTTGTGGCTGAACCAGATGATGCACCTGTGGTACTACCAGCTATTGTATTTGGAAGAGACATTGTGGTTTGAACAGATGCACTGTACATCATGCCGCTTGCTGCTGTAGTCGGATCAGACGCCATTCTTGTGGTGCTAATTGTTGTAGTAGAATGGGACGCACTTCTACCTATCTCTAAGCGATCAGACGTTGCTACAGTGTCCCCAGCCGTTGTGAGGCTGGACGTTGTGCCTGCGATGTTATCAGCTGTTGTGTACGGCTCAGATGCTGTCCCTGTGCTAATACCAAGTGCGGTCCCCCGATAGGAAGCTGTAGTAGTCGTGTAATGGTCAGGTGTTGTATCTGTGACGCTGCCAGCCGTCGTTACAGGAACAGGTGCTGTGACAGCGGTGCTTCCAACTGATGCGGTTAGATGAGGCGTCGTGGATGTAGTACTACCAGCTGTTGAAGTAGGTTGAGTTGTTCCAGTGGCCTTGCCAGCTGTTGTGATATCTGGCGTTGTTGCCGTGAAATCACCAGCCGCTGCCGGAGCAGTGTGTTGGGACAATTCGCTTGTCGATGTGAATGCGGCCGAATTGAGAGATGACTCTGCAGTACTTTCTGTGTAGTCCGGGGAGGACGATGTGACCCATGTGCTGTTATCATTGCTGACTGACATTGCAGGGGCTTCACTGGACGTTGCTACGGTCTCTTGACTCCCGTTAGGTGTGTCGTTACCTGTAGATGTTGTTGGTCGCGTGACATTCCCGTGTTGCTCTGTATCTTCCATCGTTGTTTGTAACGCCGTTGCAGAAGCTGTTGCTGTCGTCTCTGTGCTGACTGTCGTCTCAGGGGTAGCTGGAGATGCAGCTGGTGTAAGCGATGTAAGCAAAGCTCGGAAGGTCGTGTGGAGGGTTGTCTGGCCTGCGGCCGGATCTGTTCCACCGCCCACTGTCAAGGATGTACTGGAGGTCCACGATCCCGTCGTCACGGTGGGTGGTGTTGTGCGTGACGAAGCTGTCTCAAGACTGGTTTGTCCAGATGCTGGGGGGCTTTGAGCTGATTGTTCAGGCGGTGTTGGGGGCGTTGTTGGTACTGATGACGTTATTGTTGTGACGCCGATAGATGCGGCCACGGTGCCTGCTGTTTCCGATGTCTCAAACAGAGGCGCGCGTGATGATGTACCGGTTGGGCCAGGTGTCGTCTCTTGAGAGTAGCCTGGAGTGATATTGATATCAGACGTCTCGGCGACATGTTCTGTGGTTTCGGATGTGACCAATGCCTGGGATGAAGTTGCCTCAGAGGATGTTGTTGATGCAGGCGAAGCAGCTGAGGTTGACATGGTTGCTGGAAGGACTGTGGTGAAGGCATCGGTGGTGGTGACGGTACCGTCAGCTGTTTGTGTTGCGACCACGGGTGTCGTGAGATCTGCTGCTATGATCATGCTGGTCGACGACGATATGGAGGTCATGGCAGCGATATTCTCCTGAAATCAGCACCGGCCGCGCGTCACATCCTGTTGCGCTTCACTTTGGAAGCCACGTACACAACTTTGCTTCAAATGGCAAATGGCAAAAGTCATCCCGCTAAAACCGTACGAGCCCCTGGCATCGCAGGCCTTTCAGCAACCAGGGGCTACAAAAAGCTTACAGCTTCCATTTAAAGTGTGTGTGGAAAAGTACCGACCTGTCTGTCGCCTCTCACCTGAGACTCAGTGACCGACCGTTTAGACCTGACATAAGTCTCCCTTGAGTCAGCTTGCTGAATCCACTCCTGTTCCTCGTCCACGTCATTCGAGGGCTTTTGCGCTGGAACTTTGACGCCAATGCGTCGTGCATTTACGGCATACGTAGCTGGGAAATGGAGGACCGTGATCATAGTACTCATGCTATGTATACGGCCCAGACCCTTCCTGTGTTTGTGCAGATACTAAAGATAGCTTGAGTTCTCCAGGCCAAGAAATATACTAGAACTATCGATTATGGTGCACTGTGTATCGTTGAAAGGTGGGAATTATTTCCCTTCACTACTCACATTTATAATAACTTGTTCACGCCGCAGGGCAGATCACTACTTTATGTTAAATACACCGCCCATCTCAAATAAAACTGAATCAAATGTATGTCTGGTTTTTTGGCCAGCGGCAGACACCAGTGGTACCGTGCAATGTGTAGCGATTCCGTGGCTACGTGGGCTCCAAAGCCAAGCGACAAGACCACCATCTTACGCTAGCGGACTCCACGCACGAGGAATTCTGGCTGCACATGTATAGGACAGAAGCTGCCCAACTACAGCGAGAAAAAGCAGTGCCAATGACCGCAGGCATCTATGTACGTCAATGGATGTGTCACGGGTGTTTCTTGTGTTGCGTATCGCCTCAAATTAAAAAGGACAGGGATAACTTAGTTAATAAATAACAGATAGCAGATATCAGAGTCTAAATAAAGAGAAACATTTTGATCAAACTCAGCATTTCGCGCGAGCTCGTTTTCCAAATATGTATCAGCGGCCGTCTCTTTTATCTAACGTTACCCTATACCGCTTACCGTAGTGCCGTTCAAAATTATATATCATGATGACTCGATGAGGTGTCAGACACCGGGCGTCAGATGCAATGCTAACCGATCACGCGTTGCCCCTGTGGTGCCACGCCGAGGGCAAATTATGCGTCAGCCCGGCAGAGTCGGGCAGCATGTGTTCCAGAAGTCGGGCAGCATGTGTTCCAGAAGGAATGCGATCCCGTCGTCACGCCCTTTTTGAGGAACACCAGCGAGCGAACTGGCCATGTTAGTTCCCCAAAGGCCATGGCGCATCCGTGATTCGAACCCGGGCCCCAAACATGAGAGTCCGATACGCCAGTCACTCGGCCATCGCATACCGGGGTCAGGCCGCGATGGGCGAACTGTTAAGTACGAAACGCAAGCACCACGGGTGCTCGATGAGCTGTGATCTGTGGTGCGACAGTAAAAACAGAGGCCTCAGCCAGCCTGGATTACTTCCAGCTTTCTTTGATGCCCTCGGCACAACGCTTGTTGCAATCTCGTGTTGGTATCGTATTAACCGCAAATAATTCCGTGCATCTGTTACAATGCACGCACCCTATTGCCAAAATTACGCTTTGATAGAACTTGAAGGTTTTGCCCTGCATCACACTGAAGCTGATTTTTTTAAAGAAAATAGGTGCAAAGTGATGCTTATCATGAAAATGAATTTGACAAATTTCATCGATAATAATGTATATATCAGCATTCTCTTAAAGCACGTCACATCAAACGATTTTCCCTTCTAGGAGGTAAAATGATCAGGCTTATAGCGATCAAGAAATTTCTAGCTTGATATGGGGATTATATACCACTGTCACGGCGTCCATCCTTCAGTGTCCTATTTTGGTGTTCGTTTTGCATCAGCTAACCTTTAAATTGGAGCTAATCCTGAGCCTAAGGCAAAACAGCGATACAGTGAGATGATGCTGGCCTTTGCTGGCGAGCATAAGCCACCAACACTGCTGAACGGCTTTTGGGTGAGAATGTCAGGGTCTGTATGTCCAACGCATGATGCTGGCTGGTGATGTTGCACATAGCTGGTAAGCATTATGCGATATCATTCAAGCCTTCTCTCTTTCCAAAGGGTCCATCTCTTCCGAAACGCTACTCTAAGATTGGTACATTACAGTGGCAATCCTCTGGAAATATAAAAGAAAGCATAATAAAGGCGACGTTTGTCCCTAAACCATGTCAGATGTAACTGATGTTTGGCTTCTCGGTCACCAGCAAAACAATCAGCCCAAGTGAATAAGACTCCTGCATCAGCACCGCGCACACGTAATCACTCTCCACCAACCACATCCCACAAAGTTCCTGGTATCAAGACAGTTATTACCCTACCATGTTCCGAGGTCATCTTCTGGTCCTTCCACGGATGTAACCACGTTTCGCTCCCCAAGGAGTACAGATTGACACCTCCGTCGTCATCAGCAGCTGCCCCATACTCACCAGATGAAGCAATATGATATGGCCACACCACCGATGGATTTGATCGCTGATGACTACAAAAAACATATCCATTTAAAGAACACAACAACCTGGGGGCATGTTTCGAAAATCCCGTGCAGTTAGCTTTACAGATCCATCGTGACTTTAATTGTAATCAAAAATTTAGCAGAGCATTGTTTGTTATAAAGGAAACACCGACATGCTTTATTAACACGCGCCCGGGTGGCCGGTTGGATACCTTTCGCCCGGGTGGCCGGTTGGATACCTTTCGCTCGGGTGGCCGGTTGGATACCTTTCGCCCGGGTGGCCGGTTGGATACCTTTCGCCCGGGTGGCCGGTTGGATACCTTTCGCCCGGGTGGCCGGTTGGATACCTTTCGCCCGGGTGGCCGGTTGGATACCTTTCGCCCGGGTGGCCGGTTGGATACCTTTCGCTCGGGTGGCCGGTTGGATACCTTTCGCTCGGGCGGCCGGTTGAATACCCTTTGCTCGGATGGAGGGTCTGTCGACCCCACTGAGATCTCAGGAACTAAGAAGGCTAGAAACGCTCAATTTACAAAATGTGTTGGCCTGTACCTGAAATCACTTAGGTCAAACCCCGTACCTGAAATCACTTTGGTCAAAGTATGAGGCTCCTAGGTCATGGCCTTCGGGTCAAATAAGGTCAAACAAGGTTATCTCCAGGTTGGTCTTTAAAATGCCCCAGACCCTAGATACCTGTTCCAAGCAAAATATAACATGCTCATTTAAGGTAAGTGGCCTTGTTTGACCCTTTGAAGGCCATTGTGACCAAAGTCATACAAGACTGCTTTGAGGTTTGCATTTTAATAAGCGGCAAAGATTACGCCAGGCAGTATGCTCCTAAAAACGAAATCTTGGCCAGGGCCATTTTAGGTCAGTGACCTATTCTGACCTTCGAGAAGTCCATGGAAGGTGCAAAATCCGGTTCCTGTTATCAAAATATTCGAAATGACCAAAAAAGCTGCCCTATACATGAAGCCCTGGAGTAATAAAACAGGCTGATTTTGACGTTGGTTTAACCTTCAAATCTGACCTTAGGTCAATGGAATATGCTCATCCAGTCATTGTGTTGCCTTAGAAAATATCTCAGAGGTGTATGGCTTTGTCTAACACTCCGATGTAGGCTGGGATTTAGCTATTTCCAAGAAATTGACTTTGCAGAATCCATGGCCTGACTTTGCCCTGCTGTAGGCCAGCCACCTTACAAGGTGCATCTAATATTGTAATGCGAAATGATCCGCTTTTGAGTTATTTACAGTTATGAAGAATTTGGCGCGGCTACGCCACGCCGTTCGGAAACCAGTCCGGAAAACCTTTGGAAGGTCAATTTGACCCCCGCCCAAGCGCACGTGAACTCTGAAAAACTGTGTTGCCACTATTACTTGGAGGCCTCTCGCCAGCGTAGCTAGTACTTCAGAACTTCAGACATTTCCAAAAGGAACATAAAGGGTGCAATTGAAATATTTGCGAGTGAATCGTAGTTGGTTTGATGTGTTATGTTTGCTATGCACGGGGAGGCTACGACATCAAGTAATGAGGTTGCTACCTCCTTGCTGGTAGCAACCAGCAAGGAGGTAGCAACCAAGGCCTGTTATTTACCCGAGGTAGCAAGCAGTCTCAATGGATGAGGCTGCCAAGCAGCGACTAAGGCTTTGAAGGGTAAAATGGGGTATGGAGACTTTTGAGCTCAAAAGTCAGGGGAGGCCGCAAAGCATGTGGATGCATGGTTTTCGCAGCGCGGTGAGCAAAGGACATGGAGCGTTGATTACTCTGCCAAG